CGGGGTCTGTGCCAACCTGGGCCGTTTCCTCGGACAGCCGCGCGTGGCCGTGCGGCGCCGCGCACCCCACTGAGCTGCGGCAAAAACCTGCCCTGCGCTGCCAAAATCCAGCCTTCCTCGGAGAACCGCTGCGCCGAAGAACCGGAGAAATGGCTCGGTGCCTTTTCCAGCTGCTGCGAAACCGGCTCCTGGCGCAGATGTTGCGTGTCTCGAGCTTCCCAGGGGTGCCAGGTGCTTGTGTTGGTGTTGCAGGGGCTGAGAAGCAGCTCTCTGCAGGTGCTGGCACCGGGGCACGCAGGCGGGCAGCTGCCCCACTCCCCCACTGCAGTCCCATTCACGCCACTGTCATCCCCCTTTCCTTACGATTAGCACCTGCACCGTGACCCGGACCCAAACACCACCATTCATGTAAGGGACCATTCCGTGATATTCCTTGCTATTCCCACACCCGAGCTCTTTGCCGGGATCCTGCGCCGTGCCACGGACCCGCAGCACCTGAGCAGCACAGCGGCCACTCGGTCACCTCCCATCAGCAGGGCTGAAGCAGCCCCACGGGCAGGTGGCCACATTCCAGTTCCTGCCCAGAAAGGCAGCACCAGGACACATTGCCAGCACAGGGGAGCAGGGAACGGCCGCGTTTATTCAACGCTAATGCCGTAAGCACGAGGCTCTCCGAGGTGCTGTGCTGCACAGCCAGAGGGCAGTCCTGGCACCGGCACCTTGAGCCCACTACACACCCCCCGTACTGCACTCAACAGTCCACATTTTATGTTACTTTCCAGTTTTTGACTACTTCGGATAATTTCATCACCAGTAAATTAGGCTCTTTTTCCCAGGTAGAATCATAGAATCGTTAGGGCTGGAAGGGACCTTCAAAGGTCATCTAGTCCAACCCCCCTGCAAGGAACAGGGATATCTCCAACTAGATCAGGTTGCTCAGGGCCTCATCCAACCTGGCCTTGAACGTCTCCAGGGATGGAGCATCCACCACCTCTCTGGGCAACCTGTTCCAGTGTTCTACAACTCTCATGGTAAAAAATTTTTTCCTAATATCCAACCTGAATCTACCTCCCTCTATTTTAAAACCATTACCCCTTGTCCTATCACAACTGGCCCTCCTGAACAGCCTCTCCCCATCTTTCTTGTAGGCCCCCTTGAGGTACTGGAAGACTGCTATAAGGTCACCCCGGAGCCTCCTCTTCTCCAGGCTGAACAGCCCCAACTCTTTCAGCCTGTCCTCATAGGAAAGGTGCTCCAGCCCTCTTATCATCTTCGTGGCCCTCCTCTGGACCCTCTCCAACTGGTCCATGTCCTTCTTATGTTGGGGACTCCAGAACTGGACGCAATAAGTTAGGAATGTGCTGGGATTCTACAGGCAGAACAGAGGTGGTCCTTCACTCTAAGAGGGATCAGTTGTTCCTAAGTTATAATTAGTCATGAAACCCCGAGGGATCTCCCATCTCACACCGTGAGGACTCAGGGTTTTAAAAACCTCTGTGAAGGACCCTAACAAAGGTTTGGACATTAAAGCACACTATGGCAGCCAAAGATACACACCCTGCCTTCCTCACTGAACCCTGGTCTGCAAGATAATCGTTCCTCCCTCGAAACCTCTGGACAGTTCTCCATCCTGTCACATTCATGCTGGGGGTTGATTCTGACCTTTCTCATAGTATCAGTTATTTGTCCAGCACAGCTGGAATCAGTTGCAGTTCCTCAGATGATTCCTGCATCCCTTTGTAATACCTGAGGTCACGTGTTGCCTTCCGCTGCCCGAGAGCAAAGGTGGTGTATAGCCATAGTACGGAACCCACAGCTTCACAGATCAGCAATTCCATTTTTCAGGATCGTGAGAACCCGCAGCAGCAATACCCAGCACGGGGGAGACACAACTTGGTTTTACTGGCTGTTCCTTAGCACCTTCTTCTGCCACTGAAGAGTGTCACCTTTGAGGTAAAGCACTGGACTGACCCTTCTGAAGCACCTCCAGCCGTGTGATGCCAAGGGCCTGCCACTTGGAATTCTGCCGTTCCATAACCCTCCACCCAGGCCACAGGTTCTCCCTCACTGTCTCACACTGTTCTCACATCTCGTGCTCGTGGCCCTGCACCTCCGAGCTGATGCTGCCAGGGGAAGTGATCAGCAGCAGCACAAGAGTCTCACTTCTTCCCCCTGGCTTCTTTTGGAGATTTTAGTTCACAGAAGAACCAAAATCTAATGAACAGCAAAGCAGATGAGCATTAAACAAAAATATGTATTTGCAGAAAAGCTTGGCAACCACGGTGCAACACCTGCGTTTTAGCACCCAAGATAACGATGCACCATGGATTTACAGATAACGATGCTTTGTTTGGGCTTCCTTTCCCTAATTAACTCCAAACACTCAGGTTGCTTTTTGACTGTTCCTGAAGACTGAGCACATGTCTTTGTTCAGTACCTTCAGGTCAAGACTTTGCTCTTGTGCTGCGCAGAGCTCATCACTACAGGTGGGAAATTTGGATTCTTAACCACAACAGGTTTCACTTCACGTTCAGCTGCACTGAATTTATCTTTCTACCAGCCCATCAGTCGGCCCTCTTCCTTGCGAGTCAGAGTAAGTCAGCGTGGGCAAACTTCCCCGCACTAGCCCACTGCCTTTCCTCAACAGGGCACAATAATGCTGAACATCGTGGGTCTCAGCAGAACTCCCTGTGAAACTCCTGGAAAACCTAACCATTTACTCCTTTTCCCCCCATCCTGAGGCACGCAAAAGGGCTTCCCTCAGCTTCCACGGGATCACTCGCCCAGAGTCCTTAAAAGCCTTTGGCACAAAAACCTGCCAAATGCCTTTCAGAAACACAAATAACATTCCAGCAGACCTTCTCCACATCCCTGTGGGCTCCTTGGAAGAACACCACAGGTCTTGTAAGACATCACTTGCCATTAAAACACCAAGTTTATACTCTCTCATGATACCACGTATCAATGTTTCTTCTAATTCCATTCTTCATTACAGGTTCTGTTTTCCTATCACAACCCCAACGCTGTACCAGCATCTTTCCTATTTAAGGACTTGGATTACACAGACTGGATTATTTTCCTGGTTTACCTCTAAGCAATTTTTAACACACAACACACATCGAGATCACCAATATAAACCAGGACTCCTGCCTATCAACCAAAATGAGAAAAAAAAACCAAACAAGCTACAGAAGTTGCAGAGAAAAAACTTCAGCCTCATTCATTGCAGACTTGACAAACACACACCAACACCACCAGTAACAGGCAGACTCTACCATTTATACCACAGAACGCAACCCGTGAGGTGGCCAGGGGGAAGCAGCTTCTCACTGGAAAATATCGAGATGTGCAAAGAGGAGGAGACGCGGAGTCAGTGCCAAGAAAGGCAGTCCGTCACACCAGAGCACCAAAAATTCCTAGCCGTAGTAGCCAGGAGCTGTGAGCTGTTACAGGCTTCCCCAGTGGCAGAGGGAAGGTGGGCGGTCTGGAAAGGGCACCCCTGGCTCAGTTACCATTGCAGACAGAGCAGAGGGCAGGACTGCTGTGACCAGAGAAGATCCGATGGCAATCTTTAGCTACAAGTTTATGGAGCAGCCTTTAATTAGCCAAAACTTATAAAATCTTCCCTAAACATCTGGAAGTGTACTTAATTTTCTGCAAAGCTTGCTGCATCAGGGCCAAAAAAGAGCTCTGCCCACACTGCTGCAGGACAGCACTCCTCAGGAGAACCAGCTGAGGGTAACGCAGCTGCGTGGAAGCAAGCAAGGAGCTTCCACATGCCCTTCGGGTGGGAAGTGCAGGCATTTCTACGCCGTCAGTACACAGAATCACAGAATGTCAGGGATTGGGAGGAACCTCAAAGGATCATCTAGTCCAATCCCCCTGCTGGAGCAGGACCACCTGGATCAGACCACACAAGAACACGTCCAGGCCGGATGTGAACATCTCCAGAGAAGGAGACTCCACAACCTCTCTGGGCAGCCTGTCCCAGTGTTCTGTTACCCTTACTGGGAAGAAGTTCTTCCTCATGTTTACATTTACAGCTTTAACAGGCAAGCAGAAGAAAAACAACTGAAATGAGAGATCAGTGAGCAGCAGCTCTGTTTAGAAGCAAATGACTGCCTTCCCCCTGGAAGCACCATCTACAGCTCCTTTTCATCATCATCTCTCCCTGACAAGGGCAGAGCTCTTAATTAGCAAGCTCCCAAATCCGTAACATCTGACTGGAGTAACTGGTTAGAACCATGTTCCTTAACCTTTGTCTCCCAGATAACTCGAGATGAGGTGGTTTAAACCTTTTTTGATTTGCTGACTTCTGAGAGTTTCCCAGCGAGGTGGGTAACTCCTGTAGAACACACGCCAGGCCCCTGGCAGTGGCACGCTTTTCTAGGCTCCCTCTTGCAGATGCCCTAGAAGCAGCACATGTGCCACCAGGCATCTGCAGACAACGGATCAAATACCAGGTTCCAGAGGCTGTCACACATTGTTGCTGTTGGAAGCCCCTAACTCCAGTTTTAATCAGAGCTCATCACCTCAGAATCATGAGCCCTGTGATTACAGCTGCAAGTCAGAGCAAGAGAGCAGGCGATCACTTCAGAATTATTTTGTGGCAAGTAAACGACTATATTTTTGGTACTGGACATACAAGGGGCTCTTAAGTCTACCTCCAGCAGAAACATCACTCTTTAGCGAGAGCGTGGAGAGAGAGGGCAGTGCCATGCATGTGCTGAACAGACTGCTGTGCAGCAGAACACCGGTGCATTATTTAAGGCAAAACAATCTCTAGTGATCAATATCCAAGAGCCACAAGAGTAAATATTGTGGGCTAATTCGAGGGGCTCAGACAGCACCACAAAGAGAAAGCGCAGCTGAAGGACTGGAAAATGTCAGCGAAGAGATAGAGAACATTCCTTATTTGTAACTGATACATGTTATTTGTCAGGTTTTGTAATAACACTTGGTTTACAAAACATTACAAAAAGTTGCTTTTGTAGCCTCTTCCTCGGGCAGGGCCTGCAGAAACATCAGAAGCTCTAGATGTCTGTAATCCAAAGTGCAGCTTGACACTTCACTCCTTAGGAGCTTTCTGGAAAGCAGGAACCGACTCTGCTCATGTCAAGCTAAAAAGACAAAACAGAAAGGAGATTTAGCAGACAAGCACCAGCCGGTGAGTGCAGAAGGCATTTCAAAACACCAGTAAAGGCATTTCAAAACATCAGTACAGTCAGTTCTCAACCTCCAATTCCAAAGGCCCAGTAGAAATTTCCCTTCCGAGAACACTCTGCAGAGGGAAGCAGACCCAGCAGCTGCTAATGGCCAGCCGTAAGAACAGACTGGTCAAGCTGGCCAACGCAAAAGGGACACGCTTTTGCTCAGTGCAAGTTGAATCATGGCTCTGTTATGCTCAGAGACATCAAGGCTTTACACAGGAACCGTGACGGGGCAGCAAAGAACTCTTCATTCAAGGAATGCCCTATTTTTTCCTTATGCCACAAACCATTCTCATACATTCTACGGTAACAGAACCCAGCCACCAAGTTATGGGGGCAACTCAACACCTCCAGCAGCACAGCAGTGACTGAAAGAGTCGCAATCAGATGAAAGCCCAAATGAGGTTTGCACAGGGCACTCACCTATACGTGTGCCCAGACCTTGTAAAAAAAATGCGTGCACATTAATGAGTGGGGAAAGTCCTGTACCACCACACGCCAGGCAGAGAACAAGAAAACCTGCCTCCCATTAAAAGGTAACTTGGACAAAACCTTTGACAAAAAGCCTTAAAAAAAAAAATTAAGGCAGCAGCAGACAAGCTCCAAAGTTTTTTTTGGCTCCAGAAACGGCTGTAGCAGGCATTTGAAATAATGATTTTATGGGCTACAACAACGAAAAGCCAAGATATTAAGCAAAGTCACAGGCGTTTTAACTTTTAATACAAGATTCATTTAAAAAAAAATCCATTTATGTCGTAGCTAAGCACTGAACAGCTAGGAAAAGAAACAGTATCTGCAAGTTGAAATGGCTACTATTTCTCACAAAAATTATTGTGACTGCCACAAAACACTCTCCATACAGGACTAAGCAGGCTCGTCAGCTACAAGGAAACAAACCCTTCCGCAACGAGGCAATTGTTGTCAGTAACCCAACAGAACGAAAGAGGAAGTAAAAAAATAAAAACCAAATAATTAAAAAAAAAGACACATCAACTGTGAAAAGAGCTAGTTTCATAGTAAAGTCTTGCCTGTTTTGACCACCATTTTACACAGACCTGGTTGTCCTTACCTGTCAATCAAAGAATCCCTCATGTTGGTCGCAATGGTGCTTGGCCGGGCTTCGTTCAGCCGGAAGATGCTCTCGATGACGGAGAGCTCCGTGCTGGTGGTGTCCAGCCCGCAGAAGGCACACCAGTCGTTCACCACCATCCCGGCCGCGATCACCTCGCTGCCGCGGTTCACCGTTCCGGCCTGGCAGAAACAAAGGGCAAGAGTCAGCGGGGCATTCCGACAGCAACGCGTTCCGTCACTGTCCTGGGACAGACTTGGTTTTCCTTTTTTGCAGCTGGAAGAGCTCTGTGGTTTGGGTTTAGTCTGGGATTTGCTGTGAGCAGAATGTCGATAGCGCACTGATGGTTACAGCTGGTGCTGGGACATCAAGGACTTTTCAGCTTCCCGTGTTTTTGTCCGTGTGCAGGAGCACAACAGGCTGGGGGGGCATGGCTGGGACAAAGGGCCCACAACTGCCCTCGTGGTTTGAATTTAGACCTCGGATTGAGGGCTGAATTGGCCTATGGAGTATTCCATATCACGCAATGTCGTGCCCAGGATATGGATGACCAGGAAGAAGCTCTTCTCTTCCGAGGGCTCTCTTGATCTCTCAGAGTTCTCTCTCTCTGTCTTTCCCTTTCCGGGCCTCTCGCTTGTCCGGGATTGTGGTGTTGGGACTCATCTGTTTCAGGATTGCTTTCCAGGACAGGACAGGCATCAGTCACCAAGTGGTGAGTAATTGCACTGTGCATCACTTGTTTGTACATATTATTTTATATACATATATCTATTCGCATATTATTATTATTACTTTCGTTTTTATTATAATTATTATTCAATTGTTTTTATCTCAACCCACGAGTCTCTTTTTTTTCCCTTTCCCTCATTAATTCTCTTCCCCATCTCCAGGGGTGGGGAGGCTGAGTGAGCAGCTGCCTGGTGTTTAGTTGCCAGCTGGGCTAAACCACCACAGTTACACATCCTTATCACAAGTCTTTAGTGGGGACTCAGCTCACACTCCTGAAAAAAACCCAAAGCTTCTGCCATCAACAAAGTTATAAAGATTTCAGGTAAAAGACTAATGGACAGCCTTTAATGTCCAGAGAGAAAACTGTGTGACATTTGGTGAAATAAAATCTAACAAGTAGGAAGCATAAAGGCAGAGCAATCGTGGAATTCACAAATCCAACTGAGCAGGCACGGGATTTTATTACCTAATTTTTTTAAACACTGCCTTTGGCATAAACTTGCATAATCCCAGCAGAGCAGTGTTTCAGGAGCAAACTAAAGGTGCTGAGCAGCTTATTCAGACTCAGAAAAGACAGGGAGAATGTCTCAGGAGACTTGTCCTGTTCAAGTCTTCTCCTCGTCTCCCACCTGGAAGAGCGCTGCAGAGAAAACAGTATCTACAAGCTCACGAGATGCAGCAACATTAAAACTGAGAACTGGGTGGGAAGAGGGTGGCAAGAGAAAACGCAAACCCATGAATGCCTTACCACGAGTGGGACCTGGAGCAGTGAAGACAGTTCATCCTGATCATCAATTGAAGTTTTGGGATGCACAATTCCTCCTTGGTTACTGAAAACACAGTAGCTTCCTACCAGCACCTGATCTGCCACCGTTTGTCTGAAAACCTCCACCTTCAGCACATCTGCCAAGATCTCTTCTGTCTCCTGCAAGCAGAAAGGGAGAGTAAACTCCTCAGGAAAACGGTATTGTAGAATTTGAGTAGCAGTGTTGTAGAAGGCAAGCTGTTCCTGCATACAGCCATCAGCTGGGATCCTCCCCCTAGAAAGCCTGCCCACACTTTCACAATCCACTGCAATCCAATTGTTACACGACGTTTACTCAAGCTCTGTTCTAGATGTTCCCAGTTCCCTGTGCACACTGAGCTGAGTCACACCAAACACAACACCGTGCCCTTTATGCTCTTCTCCTCCCTTCCTGAGGGATACTGGTGGTACGTTAGCTGTGCCAATACCTGTTCTCTGGGCATTCCCTGTGAACTGGTCCTCTCTGCCCCAGACCACTGGGACAAAATTGTCTTATCTTTCTGTAGAACTTTAAGAACCTTCTTCCCCTCCAGGTTTTCACTGTGAATTATTTTGATTTCTCCCTCTCTGGCCATCTTATCCTACTTTTTACACTTGTTTTAAACATAATATGCTGCAAAGACCATTGCCTTCCCCCATCTCCCGTTTTTCCCTTTGCACTCCTAACACCAAGACCCATTTCTTCCTCACCTTTAACGCAAACACTGTGAGGACCTTTAGTAGTACAACCCACCTCTCTCTAATACTATTAAGATATCAGCTCTCAAACATAAAGTAGCAGCAACTTTGTCTCCTCTGCCTTTAATTTAAACTTTCACACAAGAACCTTCCATTTTCCTCTCAACCATCACAAATTTCAGTTGCTCAGGAGCAGTTTGCAACTACTGCTGTAGCCCTGGCCAAACTCTGCTTTACTGAACTCTTTATTACACACGTGCACACTCTTTTTTTCATTCCATCTTACACATGCAAAGCAAATTGCACCCAGCAATACGCTTCCATACCTCCCTCCTTGCCTTCTACAAAGAGCACCCGTGACAGCGTGCTGAACAAGGGCACACACCAGGCTTGGGGCAGGGTCCACATCCCCGGAGATAAATATAGGAAAAGAGGCAGACCAACTGACACCAAGTCAGAAGTCCGAAGTCCATTTCTGAGACTTCTCTCTTGAGGAGAAAGGAAACAGGAGGCAGCACAGCCTCCTGCGTGGCGTCAGCACAGACCTTCTGCTCCTTGTACCACACACAGCACTCCCCAAAACCACAGACCCCAAAACCTCGGCGAGCGTTCCACTGGGACTGTAAAGGCATTACAGAGCCACGCACCCTGTCGAGATCCGGGTGAACAAGAGCCACGTAGTCATTGCAGGTAGTGACATTGCCCAGCGCTGAGAGACGCTCCTCTACTCGCTGAATTCGCACGGAATCTGGGAGGCTATTACGGATATGTTGAAGCTCTTGGTCTGTCGTACTGCTTGGGACCAACAGTCCGTGTCTGTTTCCTAAAATGATCAGAAAAACCCAAAAAACCCACAGTGTTTCCACAGAGTTTCCTACTTTCCTGCTGTTCGTATAATGGCTTCAATCGCCCTTGTCCTGTCTGCTCCTCCCAAGCCCGGAATTCAGCCCAAGAGACATAACATCACCATTTAAAACCAACACAGCCCCACAGGCAAGAGAAAAACAGGATGAGGCACAGACATGTCTCAGAGCAGAAATGGGTGAACGGCACCATCTCTAAAAATTTCTCCTTTCCAACACAGCTAAAGGAAGCCCAAGGTTCCCAATGAAACCCTTTGACCAGGAATTTCCCCCGTGGATGTCAACTGCCCCACAAGAAGTACGGATACTGCTTGTTGGCATTGCTTCACTGCGACAAAGCAGAAAGATAGGATGGACGAGAACACTGGCAGGAACAAAACTCAAGCAAGAAGTTTGTCTGGCTGAATAGGGTCCCACTAGGCAGAGACAGGTGAAAGACTTTTCTCTGACTTCCACCTTTGTTAACGGCACTCTGCCCTTCCAGTGCTGGCACTGAACCATTAACCTGCAGGAAAAAGAAGCTTCTCCCAGTTTACCAGAAAGTAGACTTGCACACATCTTTAACACACCTTCAAGCCTGGAGGAGCAAACACTTCTCACTACCTCAGCTCTTTGTTATTGGGCAACTTTTACTTTTTCCATCTTCACTCCTCCTTTTCACACACTCGAGGAATCAAAGCCAAACCCCTGAGGCTGAAGGCTACCGCCTGTCGGATTCCTCACCAC